TATTAGATGGTTAATGGTAAAAAAATTATGATTATATTATAAATGATTAGTAAGAATGTTAAGTAACAAAAAAATAAAATTTTCCACTAAAATTAACCTAGATGATGTAATGATGATGTATGTAGGCTTCTCTGCGACCTCTGAGAATTCAAAGACGCCAATACCGTTTGGGGTCTAAATTCCAGTCGTGATAAAGTTAGTATAAGAGCACTAAGTTAATTCCAAGAATAATAAGTTCACATCAACCACATTGAGTAGTTTCTAAGTCATGATAGTGAAGTGCACCACTCTCCTGAATTCGATATTGCATGGTGCATAGAAAAATTTCCCTTCTTCTGATCTTACCGTGCCTTTCCTAATGTTCGATTTATTGGTATTATGAGCGTGTCTAACATCAATAATTATTGTTTTCATTAAATTAATACTAGGAGGAACGTTGGTCAGAGGAGAAGATGAGCAGTTGTTGGGAATAATCATGTTCCACCGCAGCCTCCAGATGAAGGAGTACCTATGCCAATTAACCCTTCTGTGTTGACTGATGTGTAGGGGCAGGAGTATTTGGCCCAGATGGCAGAGGACATCACTAAGAAGACCCATGCCATGACTGCCCAAGTCAACCGGCAGAATGTTGAGAGGGAGAACCCACAAGTGCGTAGCATGGGCTGAAAGGCTGAGAGACTTCACGAGGATGAACCTTCCTATTTTCATAGGGTCTAAGACTTCAGAGGAACACAGGACTTTGTAGATGAGGTGCATAAGATTTTTGTGGCTATAGGGGCAATAGATATTAAGAAAGTAGAGCTGGCTTCCTATCAGCTCAAGGATATTGCACACACTTGGTGAAAGATGTGGCAGGATAGCCAAGCTTTGAGAGGAATTCCGGTCACTTGGGAGCTATCTAAGATAGCCTTCCTAGAGAGATTCTTTCCAATGGAGATGAGGGAGGCAAAGGTTGAGGAGTTTATCAACCTTAAACATGTATCAATGACAGCCAGGGAGTATTCCTTGAAGTTTGTCAAACTATCCAGGTATACTATTTTACTTAGTATCTAACAACAAGGATGAGATGAGTACTGAGGTTTGCTAAATAATTCAGGTATACTACTTCCCTTGTATCTACCAGCAGGGATGAGATGAGTAGGTTCTTCAAAGGAATCAACTGAGATCTAGAGGAGGAGTGTCGATCTAAGATGCTCCATGATAACATGGACCTCTCTAGGTTGATGGTGCATGTTCAGCAGGTAGAGGATAGCCGCAAAAATAGGAGTGTTCATGATTCTAGGAATTCGAAGCCGCAAGATCAGGCAGGTCCCACCCATTGAGGCCATAGAAGCAATTTAGGCGTCTGGTTCAAGAAGGGGCAGCTGAGTTCTGGGAATTCTAATTTGTATAAAAGTACAACACCTAGAGGAGTCATACTTGAGCCCAAGAAGGGTAATGAAGGCGAGATGAAACATCACAAAAAGAGCTATGCTAAGTGTGGTCATGCTCACAGTGCAGAGTGCAGACAGGGCACTAATGCCTGTTTCGGTTGTGGTAAGAGTAAGCATATGGTTAGAGATTGACCATAGAACAGAGGTCAGGATGGAGGTAATGCTCAGCCTAGGACTAATCCACAGGGTGCGGCAGCAACCGAGCCTCCTAAAAGGAACAAGTTCTATACCCTAAAGGGAAAGGAGGAGCAGGAGAAGTCCGCTGATAAGGTCACATGTATGCTGCAAGTATTCTCAACTTCTATTTATGATTTACTTGATCAAGGGTCTACGCTTTACTTCTAACTCCTTTTCTTGCTCTCGCTTTTGAAATACTGCTTGAAGTTATGTATGATCCTATAGTTATAAGTGTACCTTTAGAAGAAAATGTAAGAACTGATAGAGTATACATGGATTTCCCAATAGTTGTAAGTGTTAAGACTATGTGTGCAGACTTGGTTGAGTTACTCATGCATGATTTTGATTTTATCCTTGGCATGGACTGGCTTCATTGTTGTTATTTTTTTAGATTGTCGTAGTAGATTGGTGACATTTCGTTTCCCTAATAAAGAGGAACTAGTTTGGGAGGGATAGAACTCAAGTCGTCCTAATTTCTTGATTTCAAACCGTAAGGCCAATAAAATGATACCCAAGGAGTTATTATGTCATATATTTAGTGTTAATGATTTAGATAATGACATTCCTTCCATACTCAGTGCTTGTTGTGAATGAGTTGTTAGATTTATTTCCTAATGATTTGCCTAGAGTCCCTCCTCCTAGAGAGATTGGCTTTTGTGTCGACATAGAACTCGATACTAAACCAATTTTGGTTCCTCCCTGCAGAATATCTTCAACTGAACTCAAAGATTTGAAGCTGCATTTATAAGATGTCACTGATAAGGGTTTCATTCAGCTGAGCATATCCCATTGTGGCGCTCCAGTGTTATTTGTGAAAAATAAGGATGAAACCCTTTGAATATGCATCGATTATCGGTAGCTCAAAAAAGTCACTATAAAGAATAATTATCCACTTCCCAGAATAGATGATTTGTTCGATCAGCTTTAAGGGTTTAGTTTCTTCTCTAAGATTGATCTTTGTTCAGGGTATCATCACCTTAGGGTTGGGGATGGAGATATCCCAAAGACAGCCTTTAGTTCCCGTAATTATCATTACGAGTTCTTGGTTATGTCATTTGGTCTCACGAACGCACCTGCTGCAGTTATGGATCTCATGAATAGGGTCTTCTATGAATACCTTGACTCTTTCGTCATAGTATTCATTGATGACATTCTCATCTACTATAGGACCAAAGAAGATCATGAACAACATTTGAGACTAACCTTGCATGTACATAGACAACATTAGTTTTACGCCACATTCAGCAAGTGTGAATTTTTTCTTAGATTAGTGACCTTCGTGGGTCATGTTGTGTCCGATCAAGGTGGGTAGACCACAGGAAGACTGAGGCTATTAACAACTGGCCAAAACCACTTACTCCCACAGATATCCGTAACTTCTTGGGATAGGCTGGTTACTACCACATGTTCGTGGAGGGCTTCTCTCCCATTGTTGCCCCACTGACAGCTCTAACTGAGAAGAAGGCCAAGTGTCCTAATTGTCAGCAGGTTAAGGCAGAACATCCTAAGCCTGGCGGTCTTACTCAGATTATTGAGGTTCCAACTTGGAAGTGGGAGGTCACTTATATGGACTTCATGGTTGGTCTTCTGAGGATTAGGAGACAACATGACTCCATATGGGTTATTATGGACAGATTGACTAAGTCTGCCCACTTTATTCCTGTAAAGTCTACTTACAGCGACGAGGACTATGCGAGACTCTACATAAATGAGATTGTGACATGGCATGGTAATCCTCTATCTATCATTTCATATAAAGGAGCTTAGTTTACTTCACATTTCTGGAGATCTTTCTAGAAAAGTGTGGGCACGCAAGTAAAGCTTAGTACTGCCTTTAATTCTAAGACTAATGGGCAGGCAGAGAGAACCATTAAGACATTGGAGGACATGTTGAGAGCATATGTGAGTGACTTCAGCGGTAGCTGGTATGACCATTTGCCTTTGATAGAGTTCTCGTATGATAATAGCGATCACTCCTGCATTGGGATGGAACTATTTGAGACATTGTATGGTAGGAGGTGTAGATCTCCATTTGGGTAGTTCGAGGTTAGAGACTCATCCATTTTGGTTCTAGAGATCAATCATGAGTCCTTAAAGAAGGTTAGAGTGATTAGGGACAGGTTGACTACTGCTTACACTCGGCAGAAGTCATACGCAGATAACAGAAAAGAGCCCTTAGAGTTTGATGTTAGTGACCAGGTCCATCTAAAGATATCACATATGGAGGGGGTGATGAGGTTTGGTAGGAAGGGAAAGTTGAGTCTAAGGTATGTTGTTGTGAAGTGGCCTATGAGTTGGCATTGCCTACGAAACTAGCTTTTGTCCATCTAGTCTTTCATGTATCCATGCTAAAGATGTGCCAAGGTTATCCAACATTGATTCTACCTATAGAAGGTTTGGGGGTCGATGAAGACTTTTCCTATGAGGAGGTACCGTTTGAGATATTAGATAGACAGGTCAAGCGGTTGAGGAATAAGGAGATTGACACAGTGAAGGTATTGTGGAAAAATCAGCTCGTTCAGGGTGCTACAGGGGAGGCTGAGATCGACATGAGATCTCGTTACCCTCATCTTTTTCAGCTCATGAGGTTAGAGCTCCTAGTCTTAAGTCTTAGCTCTTTATCTAACCATATTTTGTTGCTATTGCTAGGTTGTGCATAGTCATTATATTATGATTTGACTTGCATTACGCTAGATAGTGATAGTGTCGTTCGGGGACGAATGTTCCTAAGGGGTGGAATAACGTAACAATCCTAGAAATGAATAATATAAAAAAAAATTAATGTGTCAAGAATGCCTACGATTAGACCAGGGATCACACGGATTGATGCGCATTGAACAGACCTCGGAACCCTTAGTACAACCAAGAAAACTAACTTGGGGATTTAGTTGATCGTGGAATGTTTGGGTCCAACCATATAGGGCTCTCGAATACGAATATTTACTCAAACGAGTCTTTAACGGACTTAAAAAGAAGAAATCTTAGGTTTGAAATGTCTAGGGGTAAAATGGTCTTTTCCTAGATAAGGGTAGTATCGTAATTACCTAAATATGTAATTAATTCATTAAGTAATTAATAAAGAGTAGGTCTAATTTTGTGAGAGAGAGCCGAAATTGAGCCCTTGAGATGAAGTCTTGCTCCACCTAGGTTCAAACCTATGTAGGAGCAACGATTTAATGTGATTTTTTAATTGGTGAATTAATTTAATAAATTAATAATTAATGGCTAATTTAAGAAAAAGTAAAAATCAGATTTTTGTTGATTATTATTTATTTATTAATTGATTTTTTTTAAATTGCCTATGTTTTGCCAACTATCCTAGTCTTAAGAGACACTATCTCACACAAACTCTATCTCTCTCTCACGCCTAAATCTCTATATATCTCTCATTCATTCAGCTTTTCCTGTCTGCAAAAACAGCATATAAAAACATTAGAAAGCAATCAAAAGTTCCCTACACTCAAAGAACTTACAAAAAAATATATATACAAGCAAACAAGCTAACTTAAGAAACGAAAACTTTACATCATCTTCTCGACCAGATTGTGTTAAAGGTTTAGGGGAGGATTTGGGCAGCACTTTGAATTTTTGGAAATCTACAACAAAGTATGGGTTCTGTTCCTCTTGGTCCTTTTCCCAAGAGACCTTTAAGTCTTAGATAAATCTACTCTGAAAACTAGGGTAGTTCCCCCTTTTCATGTTCCCTGTCACTAGCTCCCAATGATCATAGGTTGGTATGCTTGCTGGAAGAATTTAGGGACACTGTGTGTGGTGATGATGTCGTTTCGAGATTGTGTTCATGATTATGTGCTTATGTTTTTTTGATTTTCAAAAATATTAATGTAAACATGAACGCATGTGTGCAAGGTTGTTACTATGAGTTTGGAGTCTCTGTTTTAGCATGCTAATAACATAGAATCACTTGTGTTTTATGTGAAATTAGATGTTCCTAAGGCGTGATATTCACATGGTTGAAATTCTATCAACTCTAGCTAAAACAAATCACCATATCATTCCTCTAACTTGTCTTAAGAACCCAAATGAATGACTAACAATCAAATGATAAAATGACCCATAAAATGATGAATAAAATCATGGAATAAACTTGCAGAACCTTGAAATAGGTTGTAGATAGTTTCTGGAAATTTTGAACGTCAACAAGATAAAAAAAATAGGTGAGGTCTGCAGATCGAACCCAAGACCTCACTAAGGCATACCTTAACAAATAAATTAAAAGGGGTGTGCCAGGCAGCGCTCGAACTGGGGCTAGGTCCAGCAAAATTAGCAAGAAGGGAAAAATAATAAAAGGTTTTTGTGGGGTTTCGATCCCACGACAAGGAAGACTCCAACTTAATAATAATAATATTAACAATAATAATAATAATAATAATAATAATAATAATAATAATAATAATTATAATAATAATAATAATAATATATATGGGGTCATGGGGAATCGATCACACGCCCCTCAGCAACTGCAGAAGAAAATTAATAACAAAAGAAAAGGGGGTTGTGGGGGATCGATCTTACTACACCTTGGTCAGTAGCAAAATTGAGAGAAAAAGAGAGGGTAACAATTAAAAAAATATATCGGGTCGTGGAGAATTAATCGCACATACTTCAGCACGTTGCCTAGACTAAAATTTAAGCAAAGAAAAAAAAATAAATACTTATGGTAGCATTGAGGATCGAACCTGGATCCCCAAGCAAAAGGACACAAAAATCGAAATTAAGGAAAATGTCTAAGGGTTTTTCAAGTGATTCGGAAAAGGATTCTTTTGCCCAAATTCCATATTGATACATAAGTCATATGTGAATAAATGTTCATAAACAATGTTGTCTACATACAACGAAATCGAGATCTTGGCATACTCACAAGATGCACAAGTCCTGTACTACTTAATCTTATGAAGATATAAATCACTTAAGAAAACAATGAATGAAGCCTCATGGCTTGTCTATATAGACCCATAAGTCTAGCATACGTTAAGAATTGGTGAATCTAAGATGTACGTAATTAAATGATGTAACCCTAGAAGGGTTAATTAAGAGTGTAAAACACACTAAATGTCCAAGTGAATTGGCATATGATGAAATAAATATTAATTGATGAAATAATGAAACCCTAGAAGGGTTAAGTAAGATTGTGAAACACACAAATAGCCAAGTACATTGGCATATGATGAAATGAACATTCACGTAAAAACGAAAAAAAGGGGTGAGTAGTTATGAAGAGTAAATGTGCTAATGTTAATGAATATGGTGACAACATTACATGAGGCTAATGTACAAGTGAGAGCAAGATGAAATGAGCCTAAGTAAATGTTACCAAAACGTACTCACCTATAAGAGTGTAAAGTTAATGAATAGACCAGTCTCTATGAACACTCTAATGAATGTTTTAAGATTAACACACTTAATTCTAATGATGAGATGAGAAATCATCTATTGCTCTATGATGTCCTTTTACTATAATCCAGCTTCAATCATGTATGAGTTGAATGTAATGGAACTTTATACTGAGCACCGATAGACTAGATATGAGCGGTGATGCTTATTTTGAGAAGAGCGGAGGTTCACGTAACTCTCATGAGATGAGACTGTCTGGCATGCCGGGTATGGGTATCCTTATATCTCCTAGTCTTTGAACCTATACTGCCAATATAGGGATCTAGCGGGGTTCAATTCAAAGGTACGCTAGCATATTTTGGGCCCCTTTGTCCAGTGATTCCACCTCATTTCGGTGTAAGGAAGACACTGAATTTCATGATGCCCACATGATATATATTTGTTAAAGTTAAAGTTCCCAATGGATGAATGAGGCCATCCTCAATGATGTACACAATGAAATAAATGATACCAAAGGTGTTAGGATAGGATAATCAAGGAGTGAGCTAGTTTCAAGTAATGATACTAGGTTAATCTTAATCATTGCACAGCAAACCCGATGAGATTCTTAAACTACGATCCTAGCTATAGTTGGTGTTTACACTAGCTTATGAATCAATGATATGAAGTACGTATGAATGAATGAAGCAAAATCTGTGTTTGTTAATGAAGACTCCCTAGTTTAGGTCCCATATGTTGAGACCTCATTTTGGGAAGTCTCAGTGTCAAGTTCATCAGTCAACGTCTCATAGCATATGAATGAATGTTACAAAGGATTTTATGTGCGATATTCTATGTGATATGTGCTATGTGTAAAATGTTATGTGTTGTGTACAATCTGATAAGTATGATGATGCATGTTACTCTCATGGAATGACCTTTATAATCTAAATTTGGAAAGCTCGCTGACTTTCCTAATTAAGATTAGAAAGCTCACCGACTTTCTTAATCAAAATTTGGCAAATCTACTGCTTTGACTTCCCATAATCATGTTGTTAGGAAAGAGATATTTCTCATGCATGTCCTTGGTGTGTGCTTGCTTATACACATACTTAGTACAAGTGTTTTCTTACCCTATACAACTTTACAATTTTAGGTGCAGGGCATAGGTGGACGCTAGAGCTATAGGTTGACGCTGAAGCTATCCGGACGTCAGGCATTCATCCAGACTTGGTAGGCTCTCATGCTTTCGAGGATGCTTGCCCATTTGTATTCTAGCTCATTCATAGGATTGAGTAAGTGGAGTATTTGCCACTAGCGTTTCTTTCTTGTATTATTTCAGACTTTGTATTGTTGCCATTTTGGCAAGCATTCAGTCATCACTATATTAAACTATTTCTTCCATTTGATGATCTTAATGTTAGATGGTTGATGGTGTACAAATTATGATTATATTAGAAATAATTAGTAAGAATGTTAAGTAACAAAAAGTTCAAATTTTCCGCTACAATTAACCTAGATGAAGTAATGATGATGTATGTAGTCTTGTCTGTGACCTCTTAGAGGTCAATGGTGCCGGTCTCATATGTGGTCTAAATTTCGGTCGTGACATTATGATACTATGCTTATCCTGGAAAAGACCACTTACACCCTAGACCCTCCAAACCTAAGAATACCCCTTTCAAGTCTAGTTAAGACTCATCCGGGCGAATCTAAATATTTGGGTGCCCTACATGGCTGGACCTAACCTTACCTAGCTCAACTAACTCACCAAGTTGGTTGGATTGGTTGGTGAATACGTTTTGAGGTCTAGTTCCATGTGCATCAAGTCATGTGAACCCGGTTTAATCTACGCATTCTAGGTCCGTTTAGGCATTACTTTTCATAGTCATTTTTGGGTTGTTACATTATCCCCTCTTGGGAACATTCGTCCCCAAATTACATTTCTAATTATCTAGCACAATGCCAGTCATATCATAACATAATTACTTTACATAGTCAAGCAATAGCAACAAAGAGTAGAGGAGATAGGGAAACTTAGACTTAGAAGTAGGAAGTCTAACCTCAAGAACTGAAAAGATGGGGATATCGGGATCTCATTTCGGCCTCGGCCTCCCACGTAGCACACTCAACAAGATGCTTCCTCCACAATACCTTCATTGTGATAACCTCATTGTTTCTGAGTCGCTTCACCTGACGGTCTAAAATCTCAACAGGAATCTCCTCACAGGACAAGTCTTCATCAACCCCCAATCCTTCAACAAGCAGAATCAATGCTGGATCACTAAGGAACTTCTTTAACATAGAGACATGAAAGACTGGATCAACAGAAGCTATCTCCGCAGGCAACGCCAACTCATAGTCCACCTCACCCACATGCTGTAGAATCTCGTATATACCAACATTCCTCAGACTCAACTTTCTCTTTCTGCCAAACCTCATCACCTCTTTCGTGGGTGATATATTTAAGTAGACCTGGTCAACAACATCCAACTCTAAGGTACGGTTCCTGTTATCTGTAAAAGACTTCCGCTGACTGTAACGAGTAGCCAACCTGTCCCTAATCACCCTGACCTTCTCTAAGGCCTCATCAATGATCCCTGGACCCAAAATGGATGACTCTCCAACCTCGACCACGCAACTGGAGATCTACACCTCTTACCATACAGTGTCTCAAACGGTGCCATCCCAATGTTTGGGTGATGGTTGTTATATACGAGAACTCCATCCATGGTAGATAGTTGATACGCTCAAACTTACTTCTCAAATAAGAAGTAAAGCGGTCGTATAAAGTAAATAACCCAACTAGTGAGGTTGGGATCGTTCCCACGAGGAAAATAGTTTAGACTTAACTTTAACCTATTATTACTATTGTTCGGTCAATTACTTCCTTGGAAAGAAAAAACAATAAAAGGTGGGGTTCTGTTTCTAGATGAATGAAAATAACTAACGAAATTGAACAAGACACTTAACTGCTTTTAATGTTGGAGTTTATTCAATTAATCAAAGTAACTAGGGTTTACGTGTTCCCCACAGGTTCATAACTTTATAATTCTAACTATAACAATTCTTTCCTAGTATCTTGCATGCAAAGTGATAAGTTACATATTTCTAAATCTTTGGTCCAGCATCTAGAAAATCTCACTCCGCACCTTCGTCCGGCTACGTGTGTTGCAATCCTAACCCTTATCTTTACCTCATATTAAGCATCGCATTCGATATTTGACTAAGTAATTACCTCATACCAATCAATACTAGCCTATTAGATAGTATACACTAAATCTATGTAGATAATTCTTTTTCTATTATCTACCTCCTTGGTCCGGCAAGTAGCATTAAGGCGAGTTCTAACGTTGGTCATGCGTTAAAAAAACTTCTACGCAAAAGAATTATAAATACATGGAAGACACTATTCTAGAAATGTTATTTTCGTTATGTTTTATCTCATTATTTGCCTATGGTTCCCACAACCCTAATTATGGAGTTTAGTTACCCATAGTCATAATCACAATATTCAAATATATTATATAAGAATTCATGTACTTACTTTAATGAGAAGGAGTAAAGTCTGAAAGTTTTCTTGATTAATCACCAACAATCACATGCAAAAATCTCAACGTAATCAAGAATCTCACAAAAAGTCTAATGATAATCAAAAGTCTAACACTAATACACAAAGTCTAATAATGATCCAGATTCTAACTAATAATACAGATTCTAACCTAAAAATGAGGTTTTTCGAACTATTTATAGAAAATAAAAACCTAATTAAACAAGGACTTTATTTACTGGAAATCTATCAAAACGCGGTTGGGTCGACGGACCTCGCGATGGATCGTCGTGGTCATGACGAACCGTCATGGACTCCGTCGTCCCATATTTGATGAAATTTCTTCTGCTGCTCTCTTCATTACCCTCGACGGCAAGTATGACGAACCGTCATAGGTACAACGGTCCGTCGAGGGTCTTCGTTCCAAAACACTTAAACTCTTGGAATATGAGTACTAGGATTACTTCTCTGAACTTCATGACGAATCTGCTGGACGGACCGTCATAGACACGACGGACCGTCATGGACTCCGTAACCCCACACTTGGTCAGACTTCCCCATCTTCCTTCAGTAGCTGCACTACGCTGCCACCTATGGACCTTTACAAGCTCCGTAGGTGGTCTCTTCTGCATTTCTTCGCTCAAAAACCTCCGCATACATCTTTGAACATATTTCCTACAAAATAAGGAGAAACTTATACACAGATTAGCACTAAAGGGCTTTTGGACACACTAAACTTAAGGAAAAAGTATTGATAATACCGTGAAACCACGGTATATCAACACCCTCAATTTAAATTCGTTGTTTATCCTCAAGCAACACACTATGACTCAATACAAAATCTCTGTACAATAGTATCCATGTTTTATCCTTTGAAATCATTTGGCTATCAATCCCGATTAATCTCATCATATCTATGCATGCTATCACTATTAGGCTTGAATTATGTGGGATTTGAACATGACACAGACTCACCATGCACTAACACCTATATTCTTCAATTTCTCACCGAGATGCTAATATTTCCGGTATTGCAACTAGTGTCCTCACTTTGAAACAAAATCCTTATTTTTCACACAATGATTTCAATTTGAGTATAACGATTACTTTTCAACGCTCGCTCTCAGAACAAAGTCACACTCATTCATACCTATTGCCATAAGCTTGCCCTTATTTTCACTGCCTTAAGTTCGCTATACAACCCTTAGGATCACGATAGGACTTTCTTAGCTTGTAACATAGGCTCAGGGTCAGGTAGGGTATATTTAGGTATACTTTAGTGACTTTTTTCCCTCCTTGACATATCGGCTAAACAAGCATTTTCTATCATTTTATTTCACCCAATTTCTCATATTCTTTCACCTTGCTATTTTCTCTTCTTTCTTCATTTTTGTACGTGACTCTCTTTTCTTCTTGCTTGTATTTATTTTATTTTTTTTCTTTACTTATCTTTAAACTAATTCTTGAGTCACATTACTTTTGTTCTTTATTTCTCTTTGTTCTTTCAACCCCACTTTCCAGAGCATTCCTCATAATAGTCACCCTCAACTCATGGCTTTTCCATGAGTCAAGGTACACAATACCCAAAGTTGGGTCAGGGCCATAATGAAGGTTTTTTACTACATTAGCCACCCTCAACTTATGCTTTTGGCATAAACTGCAGTGCACATGTCCAAGGAGAGACCAAGGCCAACACATTGTTCCCAGAAAAGATCAGTTGGGGTGAAAAAGAAAGGTCTAATTTAAGCTCAGATCATTTGGATCAAAGAAGGATAAATTTCATTTGGTTTTCATTTATTCAGGCTAAAAATGGGATATATTGAATAAGGGCATATGATCGTTTCCTGATTGTCTATTACAAATTACTTTTAGTAGGACTAACCAGGCAAGTTCTAGCTCATTATAAATAGTGGACTATTCAAATCTTCTTCACACTCACTTGACATCTCATCACTCATCCACATTATCAGACACCTATTTCGAATTTTAGACTTAGGGTAATGCAATAGTGTACCTCTATGTCATGCTTAGAGCCACACATTTATCAGTTACTATGCCTAGTCGTGCATCATTTTCCAGTTTATCAGCATATCATTTTAGCCATCATGCTTCAGAATTAAACTATGTACAAAAGATATAGATATGCCGGTTCAACAGAAAAAGTAATCAGACTTTTGGGGAAAAAGAACAAAGGCAAGAAAACCCCAAAAGAGGATAGTGAATTGGGCTACTCAGACTTCACCCTAGCACTCACTTTCCATTTACCCCACCCCCACCAAAAAACATGCAATTGCCCCAATGCATAATAAATTTAAATACTAGAGTGGTAGGTGAAGCAAACCTGTGGCGCAAAGCGTCGTCGATCAGCAAGGTGGTGGGTCCGGTTCCCCGAAACCCACGTCCTCTACAATCTGGACACCCTTAGGGGTGTCCTCAGCAACAACCGCACTATCAGCAGTGCCTCCCGCTATCTCCACAGTTCGGGAGCTAGACGCCCCAGCCGCTATCTCCTGCTCTAGTCTGGTGTGCCGCCTCCTCAGCAACTGAGGCTCTCCTTGCAACCTCCATCTCACAGCGCTCCTTCTTTCGTGCTCGTGCCACATCCTCTGCTCGACCTATACGCCTCTTAGCATGATCTCGAGGGGAGGTGGTGGAATCTTTGAAGTAGCGAATAGGGCCGCCAACACTGTGTCTTCATCAGGCTCGATAGAAGGGGCCTCAGACTCTGGCACCCTAGCCTCTAAGATCGTGTCAATATCTACGCGAAGACTGTCGACTGCAGCCTGAAGAGTCGACACATCCACCGGAGGAGCTGGCCAGGCTAACACCTCTTGGTGGTCTCTATCAACGATGCCTCGTGCAGGAACTGGCCATCTTAACCAAGCTGCCATCGGTATCAAACTCGGCAGTCAGAGGGGTCCGAGTAGCATCAACACCCTCGCCGAATAGAAACCGATGGATGGCAGGCAGGAAAATGTCGACCTGAACGCCCCGTACTCGGACCTGCTCCAATGAGGTCTGTTTGGCGGGGGCAACCGGCCTATCAATCTTTGATCAAAGAGTCGCTACATAGGATGCGTTGAACTCTCGGACCATTTCTTCACCGTAACGTCCCAACAGACGTGCTGTCCACTTTAGGCGATGCCTAGTGAAGAGATTGTGGATCTCAGACATCCTTGAGAGGCTCCCTGTAAGACCCGCCGCTCCAATGTGAGTGTTTGAGTCATAACTCCTTTATCATTCAGGAACTTGGCGTCGGAGTGGACTTGAAATCGCTCGTCGACACACCACCGGTTGGGCTGGTACGTAGCCGGGGTGAGGGCATGAGCTGGTCAACAGACGAGGCCGACGCTGCAGCGGTGGCAGGTGGAGGAACCTCAGCAGAGCCAAAGGCTTCCTCCGACCACGGAACTCCTAAGGATCCAGACACTCCTTCTTCATTTGTGGCTGACCCAGAAGGTGTGCTGGTTAGTGTGCGCTCCTCATCAGACTGGGAGGCAGTGACTACGCCGGACGCCACCTTGGTGGGTGTGGCTCTAGTGGCACGTGAAGTACGAGAAGGGGTGGAAGTGCCAGGGGGTACGTACTCTGGGTCACCGCCCATCATCAGAGCCAATGACCATGCGGGCAGACAGGGCGACAGACTTAAATCACCCGCGTTCATAGATTCAATCTTGCTTGGGTGCCATAGTAGATAGTACCTAAGGGATCAATATTAGTACGAGTAGTGGCAAACAAGACAAGCAAAACCACACAAAAAATTAAAATAATATGACATTTCTATAGTAATAGTGACACACGACGGGCCTGGTGATGGCTCATCATAACTCTGAAGGACCGTCATGGGGTCCGTGTCTTCCTTAGACTATGTATATATGGAGAACCCTGAAGGAGAGTCTCTGACAAGTATGATGGTATGTGAAGAACGGACCATCATTGGTACGGCGGTTTGTCGTAGGTGTCTGTCAAAGGACATTTGAAAAAAAATGGAGTCCCTTAGGAGATGGGTCTCTGACTGTCATAACGGTCATGCAGGACGGACCGTCGTGGGTATGATGGTCCATTGTACTCGTCTGTTTGAGGACACTTAGAAAAATGGAGAGAGACCCTTAGAAATAGGGTCTCTGGCAGCCAGAACGGTTGTGCAGGACGGACCGTCGTAAAGACGATGGTCTGTCACAT